TTCCCATTTGTCGGTGCTGACTAGCGACTCCGGCTTTCAATGATGGAACTTTGTGCCTAATGAACCAGCTCTTTTTGGATGGCTTCAGTTCCAGTTATTCGTAAGCCGACGTAGATTGCGAAGTCGTCACTTTTTTACTGCCCTCGTAGGACTGACCATTCCTGTCGTAGGATAACTTTACCAACTGCAACATCCACTAGGTGTGGAAAAAAAAACAGATTGCAGGTCGTTTCTTCTTACTTTTTGCCCATCCTGCCTGGAATCTCTTCAACATGGCGTGCACCCGTGTTTGAGACGACACTTCGTGCCTCCTCTTTCCTTCTGTCGTTGACAGATGGGCGGAGGGAAAGGTGAGGGCAGCAACATGTCCCTCATCTGTCCGCATCGTCGATCATATGAACTTTTTCATTTGTTAGTGGGAAATTAGCCTTTTTTGCGTGGAAAACAGAATTTCTTGGCATTTCGCCTGACTGATTCATCCTCCCGCCGTGGACTGGATGTACCCTTAGACTTTCCTCAAAACTTGGTGTCAAGATGCAATGCATCGTCTCTTGGGGGGCACTCCTTTGTCCTTGGGCCTTTCTCTTGAACATATTTTGTTCACCCATCAGCTTCAGGTCTTCTTGAAATCTCCAAAGGTCGATATTCTTAACATGTGGAACGAATCAGGAGTTGGGGGAGGCTTGTTAGAAGACCTGGAGCTTGTCTACGAAAACGCCTCGGAAATAATCTAGTTTTGGTAAAGGTTTGGAGAAAGATTGCAGCTTTTTAGGGCGATGAAACAGTTTGTGCAGGAAATCCCCTCTTTTCCGATGCTCCTAGAAGGTGGAACAAAGATCCTATTTTTTAAGAACTGTTTTATTTTCTGGTTGCCGAGGGCAACTCCGGAGTGGGTTTTATTTGTCGGAGAGGTGGTAGTTCCCGCTACGTGCTGGAAGTTCCTCCTCCGTTGAGTCAAGAGAGCGATTCACTTCCATTAAAGCTGCACTTGGATTCAAAGACCGGAACGGCGAACTCCATCCCTCCTTTCTCAAACTAAAGCGTCTTTTCCGGGCTGCCATGCATGGAATCCTACTACGGCACTTTGGAAGTTGAGATATCCACGTAAGTCTCCATCCAAAGTGGTTTATTTGCTACCTACAAGTTCAAAATGGATTTAGACCCCCACCTTTCCTTTTAATGGAAGATTACCTCCGAAATTGGATAGAGGGTAGATTCTCATCCTCGAAAAGCCTCTCCAGATAAACTAGATTTACAGGACTGAGTCAAATCCCTCCTCGTCCCCAAGTGATGGCAGCACACCCAGACTTATTTACGATCCAAGTCCTCACTTTTGGGTGTAAAGTGGAGCCGCGCGGAATCGCCTAACGCCGGTGGGAGGACCTGTTGCCAGTCCTCGCGCCTTCAAGCGTTGCGCCTATTGACTTCTGCCACCCACTCGCTGCTTGCCTGCCTGCCTGACCGCCTGCCTGTTGCTAACGCCCTCCCTGCCATTGGTTCGTGCGTCTTCTCGCGCGCTTTTAGGTGGTAGAGGTAGAGATTAAAGGCAACTGGAGAATCATCCCATCTCATTCTCATCCTATTCCACCCAATCATAGGCTTTTAGCGCCGACTGCAGCTATTCTCCTCCTCTTTTCTGCCATTTTTTCGCAGGCTTTATACTCTCGCTGGATGCGGAGAGGGGCTTTCTGCTCCAGAGGAGAATCGGGGTAAGGTTAGTTGACGGATGGATAGACGACGAATGGGGCTTGAAGTATTAGGCTTCTGGAGGTGCTGACAATGTGAGGTAGTGTTTCGAATGTCTCTGGCACTAGCGACATCCGTTTCACTATCTGCATATTGCGGCGCTGTGCTCTGCTGGCGCTTCCATTCGGTTTCACCTTATTTCATGCTCTCTTTCATATTCGACTCCACGAATAGTGGGTCTTCCACGATCCTGAATGTGGTCCTGACCCCTGAGATTCCCTTTTTCTTGGCCACTTGGTAGTACCTTATCGCAGGCTTCAACAATGTTATGAATCCGGAATACTTAGGGTTGAAAATTCAACTCGGGGTGGGTGGGGGGAGGATTTCGGAATCTGGTGTCGTGGTACCGCAGATTTTCCCTCTTAGGCTGCTTTGTGGAGGCCTTTCACGTGAATCAGGAGTCGATTTTCTGATCTTGGAGTTGTGATCGGCCTTTACAACTCCGTTATTCCTCACTGGCTCCATTATTAACCTTTACTGGATCCTGGAAAGCTTTCGTGGCAGGAATCTTGGAACTGCTACCACTCCCCATTTGCTCTCACGTCCATCAAACTTTGCCACATCTGGAGGTAGGTGGGTAGCTTCTGGTCGGCCTTGGCACACCCGAGGTCCCCTCAGCCTCGTCTGTCTTGTGACCTCCAGTCGGGGGATATGAGTTTTGGGCGATGGTAGGAAGCTCTTGCGACCTTGGAGTAAAGGTCGATGCCGGAGCTTGAATCTCCCCTTCCGAGGTTATTCTACCATCCAGATTCTCGAGGAGGGGGAAGGGGGACTCCATGATCGTTCAGCGTTTCGTCTTCTTTCTATGAAAGTCCCTAATGTCAGAGATTCCTCATAGGTAATCTTTTTCTCACCTCGGCCTAGGGGCTCTTCTGTTGTTCTCTATCGATTCGACCGCCGCGGCTCGGCGACTATGACATTTAGCCGCCCCGCAACCATGACCCCTCCGTCCCCATTGGTTGGAACGAAGGCAACCTGTCATTAAGTCGTAGAGAATGCATTTGACCCATTTTTGACTTCAGGTTCCAGGCCAGAAGATTTGGGGATTGTCAAAATATGCCTCAACACCTGGTAGCACATGTTCCAAAAGTACTCCCTCTACATCTTGAACTTCTGGAATGTGCTGCCCAGACGTCACGACGGCAGGAGGAGGTTAAGCTCTCTCTCTCTCCCCTTGGTCTGCGATTTCTACAATAAGATTTTGAGCCTGAATAAGGCCATTCGGTAGAGGTGGCGTTTCTGATGGTTTGTTTGGGTTTTTTTTTCCCATTCAAAAATATTCCGTTTTCTTTTTAACTCTCTCGTGGCCGCCTTTTCGGACTGTGAAGGTTATGGCGAGTCCTGCGACCACCCAGTGGCTCGCGCTGTTAATTTCCATTTACGGTTCAAGCTACAGTGGTCATTATTTTCCACTTATTCATGCATTCTACTGAGTTTTCTAGCGATTTCACCATCGATGTCGTTTCAGTTATCAACTGGCTTCCGCCTGAAGGTAGGATGTGGCCTCAAGTGCCCGCCCTCTAGGCGATTCAGCCATCCTCCTTCCCATTATGCTGGGCTTTCGCCCGCAGTCTTCAAGTTCAGGTTTTGAACTTCGGATTCACTTATTGGTGCCACCGAAGTAGTGATGTAGGATCCAAGTTTGTAGATGTAGTTATTCTGTGGTGTTCAACTCAATTCGGGACTTCTCTGATTTGATGCATGTTTAGCGGTAGGCCTTGATGTCTTTGTGTTTGCACGGTGGCGAAGTTCCTTATCAATGTTGAGACAGTCGGTATGATAATCTCTACCATGAGACCAATGCACATCTCGCCCACGACATCGGCGTCGTTCCCGTGGGCACCCATGTCGTGGAAAGCTCGTCTTGTTGTGAATCCTTCCATAGGGGCGGTGAATGCGGCCCAATCATTTCCAGACCCTTTTAACTCCTAGTAGCTATTCCACGCCGCCTGTCGAGAGCATTTTGACGAGAATCACGAGCAGGATTTCTTGGATCTGTGGAACCATGGCTTCAGCACTTTTTCCCCCGATCATGATGACCACCAAAGGGATAGAAAGAAACGCGTGTGATTTTACCACCTGTGACGAGGTGAAGCAGTTTCTCCTAGGCTGATCCGCCCGACTTGACAAAGCCTTTCCCTTCCGAGGCTACCCTGCACATACCAGTTCAATCTTGAGATGGGCACGGACTTTATGGCTAACTCTCTTCCATCACTTTCCAAACCCTTCACAAGAAAATTTAGCTTTTTAGATGACAGTATGGTCACCGTAGCCACACTTTGACCTGAAGACTATTTTAACGTCATGTGACAGCCTCTGACTGCCAGGCTGACTGACCTTGAAACTCGCTGGCAGTCTGGCATGAAGGTGATTGCAACACTGGTATGCTGGAGGGAGAAACAGCCTTCAAATTGTGGGTACTGCGGACTGAAGTTGTCGCTCTTCGTGTTGTACAGCCTTGGCATAGGGTTGTCACTTACACACAATGGCCTGACGACTTTATCCAGTCAACAACTGAACAACCCTGGAAGTTATTCATGTAGATAAATGCCTCCTTGGTCTGCAAATAATACCCTACTTCAAGAAAATCAATGCCTTTCAACTTTTCACGACTACAAATTTGTCTTTCTTCTTCTCTAAATAAATAAGTTCAAATTATTTGTATTTCACAGTTTCTGTCCCTCAGTTGTAGGCACGAGACGTTTTTCGTTTGCAAGGCTATTTTGCAGTAATGCCCATAAGCGTATCCACAATGTTGTGTGTCGGCTAATTATGCAAATTTGGATGTGTTTGTTTATTTTTTATGGGTAAGAAGTGAAACAACTACATTAGGAAGAGATTTTGCATTTCATGTGCCTAGGGTGGAAGGATGTTTCTCTGCCGCGCTATTGGTGCGCTTCAAGGTCGCGTTGTTTGATTGGCTACCGCGAGCTGGGATTGGGTTTATCCGTTTCTTGAGGCACCGAGAGTTCGGTCAGCTGTGCCCATTCCGGGATAAGGTAACTAGGGGGTTCCTATTTACTTTGTGAGGCTTCACAACCTCTAAATGAAGGAATTAAAAAGTGATTGCATAAAAAGTTTCGTTTCTGTGTAGATAAACAGTAGGTACGGCGGTGAAGTTGCCTCTTGGCATTCGCTTGACACTGAACATCTTAGAATATTAGTTGACAATGTCAGCACATCGCACATGTACGTGATTTATTGTCGCATTTTCCAATTGCTACTTTTCGTTAGTAGAAGGGTGTATTCTGGTCATAAATCTCTAAAGCCTTCTAATCGTCCCCCGTAAACATCGTCAGACACGAGCCTGAAAGGAATGGTAGATTAGCAGCAGAGTACCGTGCCATCAGAATTGAAGTTGAATTGCGGGAGATTAGGTGGACTTGTGGAGTCGTAAATACAGCCAAAGCTATGATCGCTCTCCATCCTGTTAGGCTCGTCGTCCTTGGTGGCTTCAGCAACATCTTCCTTACGAGCATCATTGCATACATCCTCCTCTTAGATATTCCTTGGTGGAATGTTATAATGGTGCAGGGTGGTGCTCGGTAGATGAAAAGTAAGGTAAAAGAAGCCACGGAAAAGAAGAAGAAGAAGAAGGGAACTCTAGGCACATTTATTCCCCCATCTATTGAACTTTGGCGGCATCCAGTAATCAAGAAGTGGGAGGTTTCACGTGGTTGCTATTCCAAAATGACGGTAACGTGAACGAATAGAACGCATCGCACATCGCCTTGTGATGACCAATGAAATGAGAGTAACAAGTTCCATTCTAGTAGACTATTACAGTGATCCTACAAGTGAGAGGACTGAACTGAGAAGAAGAAGAAGAAGAAGGTAGGCGGTAAATGAATAATTACTGCAAAATATGGAATAGTCTGATTAATTTGCGCTCCAATGGAAGCAGGATGGTGGGTGGCGACGAGGCGGAGGAAGATGCACAGTGGATGGAAGAGGAAAGTAAGTCTATTTACTATTCATTGAACCTTGTAGATCAACATTTCCTCCCATCCATCCATCCCGGATCCATCCATCTTGTATCCATCCATCCATCCATCTTGTATCCATCCATCCATCCATCCATCCAT